AAATTAAGTAGAAATGCGAAGTTTGAATATTTGAGGGAGAGGATACAAACAAGGATGCAATCTGGAGCTGTCTCACAAATTATATATCGAAATGCTGTTAATTTCGGTGTGAACCAGGTGAAATATGTTCCACTGAAAATTCGAGATGATGATGATGTGGAAATGATGTTTTACAACCATGAATTATCTGGGTTACATGCGATAGATTTATACATAAAATTTCAACTTTCTCAACAATCTCAAATCTCACAAGTGGCCAATCCCAATGATGTTGAGCCCGTGTCCATAATTCCCGAGGAAGTCGTTGTCAAAGATGACGAAGAAGAAGAGACTGAGTCACAAGCTGATGATTTATTCACTACTTTATTTTAAGACGATGGCCATGACGAGGCGGATGCAATCAACGAAACTGAATAACACATTCCACTTGAGAATGTCTATTGTCCAGCTGCCCACATGACCACTCTGGAAATAGCTGGAGACAAATCATCATTTCAATGGCCCAAAAATCCTCGTCTTCCGCTGGAGGATGACATAGCTATTGGGAACCAGTTCAAAAACAAATCTGACTGTGTCTTTGCGATATCCAGGTACCATATGAAACATGTCGTTGATTTCAGGGTTACATGTTCTGACACGAAGAGGTATAAAATTTGTTGTAAGCGTAGTGGTTGCAACTTTCGTCTAGTGGCATCCTATAGGAAAAGGAGAGACCTATGGGAGATAGGAATCATGGAGCCCCCACATAATTGTTCAACGACCATCTTTAATCAGGATCATCGACAACTAAGCTCTCGACTGATGAGTGAACGATTAATGCCTCTTGTTGAAAAGGATCCCTCTATCAAGGTGAGTGTATGTATTAACGAAATTGTTTCTTTTTTCAAATACACTCCATCTTACAAGAAAGCATGGATTTCTAGAAACAAAGCAATCGAACAAGTGTTTGGTAATTGGGAAAAGTCATACAATGAACTTCCAAATTACTTGTTGGCCCTTAAGAAGTTTGTTCCAGGCACTGTAGTAGAAATGCAAACACTACCGGTATATACAAATGACGAGACTATTATTGCTGGGAAACAAATCTTCCATCGACTATTTTGGGCTTTCCAACCATGCATACATGGCTTTGCATATTGCAAGCCTTTACTACAGATTGATGGTACCTGGTTATATGGAAGGTACAAAGGTACACTACTAATGGCTGTAGCACAAGACGAAAACAACAATATTTTCCCAGTTGCCTTTGCCTTAGTGGAAGGTGAGACGGCGGATGGTTGGGGTTTCTTTCTAAAAAACTTGAGAATGCATGTAGCTCCTCAACCTGGCTTGTGTTTAATTTCTGACCGACATGCATCTATCGAAAGCGCTTATAACAATCCTGAAAATGGTTGGAATAACACTACATTTGTCCATGTGTATTGTATCAGGCATATTGCGCAAAATTTTATGAAGGATATCAAGGACCGTATCCTTTGGGAAAAAATAATCAACATGGGTAAGTACCTTTTATGCAAACATTACATGCTCGTTGATAGTATACCATTATATTAACCAATATTTTTTTTAACATGTAGGGTATGCGCTGAACCAACCAACATTTAAATATTATCGTAATCAAATTGGGATGGCTAATGGTGATGCTTTGAGGTGGATAGACAAAATTCCCTTTGAAAAATGGACGAGGGCATTTGACGAGGGTCGTCGTTGGGGGAACATGACAACAAACCTTGTCGAGTCACTAAATTCCGTATTTAAAGGCACTCGTAATCTCCCCATCACATCGTTAGTAAGTGCAACATACTATAGAATGGGAACACTCTTTGCTGAAAGGGGTGCAAAGTGGAGTGCAGTTTTGAATTATGGACAAACATTTACAGAACGGTGCGTGAAGGTGATGAAAGAAGAGACGTCAAAATCCGCCACGCATCAGGTAAGCATTTTTTACTATAATAATAACACTTTCAGTGTGAAGGATACAATTAACCACGGTGAGGGGAAGCCATTGGGGCGTTACAAGGTCAACCTAATGGAAGGATGGTGTGACTGCGGAAAGTTTCAAGCATACCGTGTTCCTTGTTCACATGTTATCGCTGCATGTTCCGTGGTGCGCCAAGACGCATTTCTTCTATTGTCTGATGTTTACAAGGTGGCGAACTTATTTGGGGTTTACAGTACGAGCTTTCCAGTTCTACCATACGATGAGTATTAGCCCACTTATGAGGGAGATCAAATTTGCCATAATCCAGTTATGTGGAGGAACAAGAAAGGTCGTCCCGTGAGCACCCGTATTACAACAGAAATGGACGCATATGATAAGTTGGAGAGAAAATGCACATTGTGTCGTCTTCCAGGTCACAACCGAACGCGATGCCCCAATGTAGGAACTAGTAATAATTAGTTATTCATTTTGTTATCAATCTGCAAAGTTGTATGTATAATGACGCCGAGTAATTATGTTTCATTTCACTAATACTTCTGCATTTAATATAAATAACAATTCGAAAAAACAACACATAAATTAAAATACTGAGACGAATAGTAGAAATTAGCAACAACATTAAACGTAAACAACATCAACATGTTCAAACAAGGACATAACCATTTCTAGGATATTACAATCAGCAACACAATATCTTTTTGTTGAAGCATCATCATAAGAACACATGCGTCGTTGTGAACAAGTCTCCAAGAACGAGTGAGTCCATTTAAGCCAGACACTGTAACTAACCTCTCTATTTTTCGGATCTTTTCACCTTGGGCAATTTCTTCCCCTAACCATCCCTCCAAGTGCCTATGCAGATGCTCAAATGTCTGCGTGTTCAACAATTTGATCTTCATCGGAGGCTTTACTGGAGAAAAAATAAGTTCTGCGTCTCTTTTCATATATGGAAACATTGGAAACTCCCCGGATGTTGAAGACATTTTTAAGATACAACTAAAGAAAAATAATTTAAGTGTAGCTAGGATCATTCAACATCAACGATATTTATAGTTCACAATAAAAAATTTAAATTAATAAAATAATAAAACTCTTCGTCCATTACAGTGGCGGAGCCGTACATAAATAATAAAATTACGAAAGCTTCCGCCCATTGCACTGGCGGAACCGTACTTAAATAATAAAATAATAAAATGAATAAAACCCTCCGTCCATTGCAGGGGTGGAGCCGCACTGCAATAATAAAATAACAAGACCCTTTCTATGATTAACATTTATTTTAATTTAAACTTATTTTTAAATATTAATTTTAATATTGATTTTTTATTTAATAGTAATTTTAATTTATTTTTAAAATTATATTAAAAAATAATTTATTTGTATATTAATATTTTAATAATTTCATTAAAATGACTTAAATTTGAATATTTCAAAGTCATTTTATACAAATATATTGATTTCTTATTTAATAGTAATTTTAATTTATTTTTAAAATTACATTAAAAAATAATTTATTTGTATATTAATATTTTAATATTTTAATAATTTCATTAAAATGACTTAAATTTGAATATTTCAAAGTCATTTTATACAAATATATTGATTTCTTATTTAATAGTAATTTTAATTTATTTTTAAAATTACATTAAAAAATAATTTATTTGTATATTAATATTTTAATATTTTAATAATTTCATTAAAATGACTTAAATTTGAATATTTCAAAGTCATTTTATACAAATATATTGATTTCTTATTTAATAGTAATTTTAATTTATTTTTAAAATTACATTAAAATAAAATTTATTTGTATATTAATATTTTAATATTTTAATAATTTCATTAAAATGACTTAAATTTGAATATTTCAAAGTCATTTTATAAAAATATATTGATTTTTTATTTAACAACAATTTTAATTTATTTTTAAAATTATTTATAAAAAAAAACGTTACTCAAACAGCTCCGCCAATGCAATGGGCGGAAGCTGTGTAACTTTAAGACCATCCGCTCATCCATTGGGCGGAGCCTCCTAAGACCATGTGCAATGGTGTGTTTAATTGAACTCAACATGGCAAAATCATGTGCAATGGTGTGTTTAGAGTAGTGTTGAGTGTGTGTTGGAGGAGAGAGATGTTGAGAAAACTCAACACCATGTACACTGACGCATGGGCTGACGTGGCAGCAGCTGGTTGGCTGATCAGATTTTTATCCATTTAATACTTTGAACTCAATTATTTCGTTGCAAATTAATTTTTTTTTTTTTTTACCAAAATTCATGATTTTTTTTTCTCTATAAATAGAGACTTGGTTCATTTGATTTGGACACAAAAAAAAACTAAGTTTTTCACTATCTTAATTTTATTATTAGTGTTTATTTTGAAGTTAAGTGTCTTTTTTTAGTGAAATGGATCCCAATAATCATTTTAACACTCAAAATTCTGCTAATTTTCCCTTTAACCAAAATCCCAACAATTTTCCAAATCCCAACAATTATCAAAATCCCAACTATTATCAAAATCCAAATCAATTTTCCAACCAACATCCTCAAAACATACCTAATTTTGGTTTTCCACCAAATTTCAACCAGACATCCTCTGTTCCAAACTTTCAAACATATTATGGATCTATGCCGAGAAATCCATCTCAAACACCCCCGTTTAATGGTTATGTGACAATGGCGAATGCAAATTTTCCAAGTGGTGGTGTACCTGAATTTCCCGAGTTTTCAACACAACTAACTATTGGTGGCATGATAGTTTCTAATGAAGTCGGTCCGAATTCAGAGGATTCAACTCCTAAGAGCAGGAAAACTCAGCAACCAGCATGGAACACTGAACAAAATTTGGTGCTAATTAATGGGTGGATTAAATTTGGAACAAGCAGTGTTGTCGGGAGAAACCAGAAAGGTGAAACATATTGGGGTAAAATTGCTGAGTATTGTAATGAGCATTGCTCATTCGATCCTCCGCGTGATGGACCTGCATGCCGAAACCGTTTTAATTATATGAACAAAGTGTTGGGTAAATAGATTGGCGCTTATGATGGCGCTAAGCGTATGCAAGGAAGTGGTTGGTCGGAGAATGATGTTTTGGCAAAAGCGCAGGAATTATATGCATGTGGGAAGAATGTTAGATTCACTTTAATGGAAGAATGGCACGCTCTCCGTGATCAACCACGTTATGGTAGTCAAGTAGGAGGAAATATTGGCTCAGGAAGTAGTGGATCTAAGAGATCTCGCGAGAGTGATGCATGTGGCTCAAACACTGTAGAATCCAGTGCTCGTCCTATAGGAAGGGAGGCAGCTAAAAAAAAGGGTAAAAAGAAAAGCAAGGAATATGCCTCGGAGGTGGTGGACAAAGAATGAGCTGAATACAAAGAATTCAAGACGGAAGAGCTTGAACGATTGGACAACATAGCCTTGATGCAACAGCAGGCTAACAATATAGCCTTGGAAAAGACTAAAACCAAGAAAATGAAGATGTATCTAAAGCTAACTTCCGAAGAGCATCTAGATGACCGGAAGAACCAGTTGTTGAAAAAGTTGGAGGCAGAACTGTTTGATAATTAATTTCAATGAAGTATTTGTCAGTGTTGTGTTTGCTTTAATTATTGTTGTTTCAATATGCCAGTGTTGTGTTTGCTTTAATTATTGTTGTTTCAATATGCCAGTGTAGTGTTTGCTTTAATTATTGTTGTTTCAATATGCCAGTGTAGTGTTTGCTTTAATTATTGTTGTTTCAATATGCCAGTGTAGTGTTTGCTTTAATTATTCCTTATCTGATAATTAACTCTATACAATAAATTATTTCGAATCCGTCAGTGGTCCACCACCCAATTTGAATCTATTCCTTATCTGATAATTAACTCTATACAATAAATTATTTCGAATCCGTCAGTGGTCCACCACCCAATTCGAATCTATTCCTTATCTGATAATTAACTATATACAATAAATTATTTTGAATCCGTCAGTGGTCCACCACCCACATCCATTTATATATAGGGACTCATACATCCATTTATGTACCAATATCCCAAATCCCATCCAATCTACCTCCAATATCACAAAAAAATGGATCCATCACAATATCATTTTGATATCGCAGCCTACAATCAAAATCGTGAAATTGAAGAAAATTATATAGTCAATCGATTTAGAGAGCGTAGAAACAAAATATCGGAAGATAATGCACCTCGTAGTAGAAAATATCTCAATAGAGATCATGCAGCGGCAAACCAAAGACTAATTGACGACTACTTTGCCAATGAGCCTACATATGACGATGCAATGTTTCGTCGTCGGTACCGGATGAAAAAAAATGTTTTCCTTCGAATCGTTGGGGACCTTTCAAGTAGTGATAACTACTTCACCCAGCGAGTTGATGCAGCCAATAAAGAAGGTATATCACCCTTAGCAAAATGTACCACAGCAATGCGAATGTTAGCATATGGTGTGGCAGCAGATGCGGTCGATGAGTACATCAAAATAGGAGGTACTACAGCATTGGAGTGCTTACGTAGATTCTGTAAAGGAATCATACGCTTGTACGAGCAAGTGTATCTGAGAGCACCAACCCAAGATGACCTGCAAAGAATACTGCATGTTAGTGAAATGCGGGGGTTCCCAGGGATGATTGGGAGTATTGACTGCATGCACTGGGAGTGGAAAAATTGTCCTAAAGCATGGGAAGGACAATTTACTAGAGGGGATAAGGGAACCACCACAGTTATTCTTGAAGCAGTTGCATCTCATGACCTATGGATCTGGCATGCCTTTTTTGGATGTCCGGGAACGTTGAACGATATAAATGTTCTAGACCGGTCACCAGTGTTTGATGACGTGGAACAGGGAAAGGCTCCAAGTGTGAATTTCTTTGTGAATCAACGTCCATATAATATGGCATACTATCTAGCTGATGGTATCTACCCTTCTTATCCAACTTTCGTCAAATCGATTAGACTTCCTCAAAGTGAACCCGATAAATTATTTGCAAAATTTCAGGAGGGATGTCGGAAGGACATCGAACGTGCATTTGGAGTGCTCCAAGCTCGATTTAAAATCATCCGTGAACCAGCTCGCTTGTGGGACATAGCTGATTTGGGTATCATCATGAGGTCATGCATCATATTACATAATATGATTGTTGAGGATGAACGAGATTCATATTCTCAACGTTGGACCGATTTTGAGCAATCTGGGGAAAGTGGATCTAGTGCACCACAACCATACTCGACCGAGGTGTTACCCGCTTTTGCAAATCATGTGCGTGCTAGATCAGAGTTCCGTGATCCAAATGTTCATCAAGAATTGCAAGCCGATCTAGTGAAGCACATATAGACAAAGTTTGGAATGTTCCGTGATTGAATTATTTGTGTGTTGTATTGCATTTTAAATTATTTGTATCGTACTAATTACGTTACTTGTGTGTTGTATTGCATTTTAAATTATTTGTAACGTACTAATTACGTTAATTATGTGTTATATTTTAAATTAATTTAAGATGATTTGTATCGTATCCAATTATTTAAATAAATTTTGTTTTTATTACAAAAAATTAAAAAATAAATTATTAAGTATTTATTATTTTAATTTAATTTTAATCGATAATTGTAATTTTATGTAATCATAAAAATAAAAATAAAATTTAAATAAGAATATGAAAATAAAAAGTGGTGGGGTAGGGTGTTGAGTGAAAAATCATTGGAGAGGGTAAAAGTTGAATGAGTGTTGAGTTATTAGGTGGAAGAAAGAGAAAATGATGTGGAGTGTTGAAAGTTGAAAAAGTGGGTGTTGAGTTTTTCAACCATTGTAAATGGTCTAATATCAATTTTTTTTTTTTTTTGAAAAAATGTGGTATAGTGAGAATATTGGTTGAAATATGTGGTATATTGCGATTTAGTTGTTAAAAGGGGGTGTATGTTGGTAAAAAATTGACTTTTTATGGAAAACTCAAAGTCATTATCATTTTGAAACGTTTCAGTCTTAATACTTTAGATTTAAAGACCACACGCTCCATTCTTCATTGAAGCTTCACATTCCTCTTCAAGGCAGCTCTTGAATTCCTATAGTCCATCAACAACTCCAAGTATTTTTTATTTTTATCTTGCTCTTTTTAGCTTTATTTATTTTTTAGAAATCTACTATCAATATATAAAAATTGATTACCACTATTTTTACATTGTTAACCATCTTACCACTGATTACATTCCTAAATTCATGGGTAAATCTATCATTATGGCAACATTAACTTCTTTAAATTCAAATGCTTTTAATCCTTTGAATATTTTAATATTTTTTCTGACCATTAATTTTTTTATAACTAACTCTGCTATCAATATTGAATGTACGTCATGCTTACCACAATCAAGGCAAATTAAATGGAGTACTACTTTTGTTCATGTGTAGGCTAGGGATGTTCAAATCAAAATCAATTCAAATTAAAAATTAAAAATTGATCTAAAAAATTGAAAACTGTAAAAAAGCTGAAATTTGTTAGATGTATTTGGATATTACTTTGTGATAATCGATCAGTTTGGGTTGAATTTCGAATTAATTTTTCAAAATCGATATAAATCAAATTGAACCGCATACACATTTTTATATTTATTTATTTTTTACTAATATAATATGTTATATAAATTAATTATTTGATAATAATAATTTTTTAATAATATTTATTAAATTGATATAATCTATTTATTTTTATTATTTTGATCATAATCGATCAATCTCATTTTATTATATTAATTTTTAATATACTATATGTCATATATTATATCAAATATATGATTTATTAGTAGTTTTATAATATTAATTTTTAATATACTATATGTCATATATTATATCAAATCTATGATTTATTAGTAGTTTTATAATATTAATGAAAATATAATATATAATTTGGATATTCAAAAATCGATCCAAATTAAACTATATAAAATTAGATCGGATCAGATTGAATTTTTTTTAATATATCATCTAAAACCGAATGGAACTGCAAGTAAATCTATCTTTAAATCGAATAAATTTTTTCCTTAAAATCGATTCAAACCGAACCGCAAACACCCTAGTGTAGAGGTTAACCAAAAGTTTGGTTGTGTTTTACATTACCTATGCAACATTATTATTAAAACTGACGCATCTAACTAAACCTTCATATTTCATACATTAAAACTCGTCCTTTCTTCCTCATTCTTTTCAATTGTAGCCTTTGTTAAGGTAGCCAGAATATCAAAAGGTACCATTTTTCCACTTTGTATTGTGTTCTTCTTCCTTTGCTTTTACTTTTCAGGTATATGCATTTGTATTTTTTGTATTTGTTGTATATCATCTTCGGTTTGTGAATACTCAGCATATGCACTCAATTATTATCCATGTTGCATTTAGTTTTCTATTTGTTGTTTATCGTGTTTTTCCTCCTATGCTTTTACTTCAGTTTTATGCATGTTGCTTCTGTTGTATTTGTTTTTTATAGTGTTCTTTTTCATCTGCTTCAGACTGATTAAGACTCACCATCTTCAAACGATTTTTATGCATGTTTCATTTAGTTCTCTATTGTTGATTAACAGTGGATCAACATCTACAAAATTGGAATCAAGCGTGGCAAATAATGTCTTTATAGATTGTGACTTATTTGGAGCTACTCAATACTCAGGAACCAAAATAAACTTTGAAGTTATTTTAGTGCGTTTTACTTTTACGCTGTTGATCTTACTGGTGATCAGAACCTGTAATGGGTTAGTAACTTTATTTGCGGTGCTGAGAATCAACGGATGGGGGGTGTACCTATAAGAACTCTAATGCTCAAGTAAGTAAGAATGCAGAGATAAATGAAAGAAAAAAAAGGTTAAGAGTTGGATACATGACCCTCATATGCATGGGGGTTATTTATAATGCCCCCAGTGCTGGACCAATGGTTCCCATTAGGGGTCGAATATCTAAGCCCGAAATGGGTAACTGCCAGGATTCCTGCATGAAAGTAGGGACGAGCAGCTCGTGCTCGTCATCCTGGAGAGCTTGTGACAGACCACTTCAGTGTCCAGTTCAGGCATCTCAGCAGCGCTCTATGTGAACATATCAGCATCCTCCCTTAACCAGGCTTTCAATTGTTTCTTTTCTAGGTCAGGGAGACCACTGCCAATTTTTAATCCTTTGTTTGGATTGTTGTTGAGGAGGATGACTTCGAACTCGCCGTCTGGAACGGGGCGCCTGAGATGGATAGGTTCCTCGTTGTCAGGGGGTGTCGAGGAACTTTTCGCTGTTAGTCCGGCTTCCCTTTCTTTCTTCTTCAGCTCTTTCAAGTCATACTTGGTGATGCGGACGTCGAGGTTGACTGATTCGACGTGAGGCAGTGGCTTTGGCTTCCTAGGATGCACTGGTACAAAGAAAGGCAGTCTATTACTAGGAATTGAATTTTGACGAACATGGCGGTCTCGGTCGTTCCGAAAGTGATAATCAGCTCGACATAGCCCCATGGATTCGTGACCACGCCGTTTAAGCCATGCAGATCTGAGTCCGCGTAGGGTGTTAAGTGTGTTTCGTCAAGTTGCAACATATGTTAGACGATG